GGTCAGCAATATTATAATATAATATTATTATATAATATTATATTATATTTATTATTATTATATTATAATAATAATAAATATAATATAATATTATATTATCATATTATTATATAATATTATATTATATTTATTATTATTATATTATAATAATAATAATAAATATAATATAATATTATATTATTATATAATATTATATCATATTTATTATTATTATATTATTAAGATAATATTATGTTATAATACCTCCCGAAATCTAGCTCTGCTTTACCGGTTCTGGCATTTGCCTTGAACAAAGCCTGAGCTATCCACTGATGATCAGCCGTTAACGTCGACGTTTTGAAATTTGAGTCCTAATACGGTGATGATATTTCTTGCGTATCCGAACGAAAATTGAGTGCGAACGATCGCGTCGCGTTGCGTAACGGTGTGAATGACGACGTTAGCACCGCTTCCCTCGTAAAATCCGTAGAGAGGAGATTGGCTCGCTCCGTTTATTTCGAATCCTTCGACACGAAAAACGATGAATCTTGTAATTTTTTGATGGGAAGCAGAAATCGTTCCGGTCTGGTAATAGTGCGGAATGAATGGATTCAACGTAAGATCGTATTGAACGTAATTCTGTCCGAGATCGTTCAGATCGGCGATTGCAAGATTATGTTTTCCAATTTCGGCCGTGTGTCCGCTAACGGCAAGCGTAAGTCCTTCGGTCAGCCGGATAACCAGAATGTAACATTGCCGTCCTATACTATATTAGACCATGGGCCAGGCATGGACTGGATGAACCACCTAGCTTTGCGTATGGAAATTCCCGTTAGAATTACTCGCCGCCAAAATTTGAGAAACAAAAAAACAGTCCATGCGTATAATAATTTAATCCCACTACAGGCTAGTGAGAACCACACTAGCAGAAATACGTGTAGTACCCCATTAACCCCAAACGATCAGATATCAGTTCCCTCTAGTCTCAACATTGTTCACTTAAACATTCGCTCGTTAAGAAATATCGTTCACCTTACTGAGGTCAAGGAACTAGTAAAGTTAAATAATATCGATGTCCTCACAATTTCCGAATCATGGTTAAATTCCTCAGTGACGAACCGTGAGATAGCAATGACGATTATAAGATCCACAGACTTGACCGGTTACACAAGAAAGGTGGAGGTGTCTGTGCTTATATCAAGAAGAATATTAAAGCAACTGTCTTAAAAGATTTATCGAAGGTGTCAGTCTCTAACTTTCATCAACTATGGATAAATCTACAATGCAAAAAAAACAAATCAATAATAATTTGTGTAACCTACCGACCACCTGACACTTCTCTAAATTGTTTCGAAGATTTACTTAAGCCAAATTATGTTCAGGCTTTAACTTTGAATAAACAGATTTTAGTGCTCGGTGACTTAAATTGTAACATGCTAAATCGGATCGTCTGTTATCCATATTATCCAACACCAACGTCAATACAATACTCGAAACCTTCAAATATGTTCTTCACTCAACTCTCGACGTGCATGCACCGTTAAAAACCTTCAAAATTTGAAATCGATCATGTCCATATGTCACCAATGAAATAAAAGAACTCATGAAGTCTCGGGACCTACACCTCCGTCGGTTTCAACTGACACGTGATGAAGGTGATTGGGTAGTTTACAAAGAATATCGTAATAACGTAAAAACCAAAATTAAAGCCGCGGCGAAGGACCACACCTTCAACGAAGTAAGAGAACATAAACACAATTCGAGATCCCTATGGAAAATAATTAATAATATAATTCCCTCGAAGGAAAAGGAAACACAAGTTTATAGTAAAGATCCAAAAACAGTTGCAGAAGATTTCAACCTTTTTTTTTACTTCTGTGGGACGGAACGCTGCTGCGACAGCCGAAAGTTTAGCCAAAGACAACAATGTTGCACTGTCAAATCCTCTGTCAAATGTAATCACCTATCCATCTGATCAACTGTTCAATTTCCAATCCGTTACTTGTACAGAGGTTCAACGCATTATCATGGCTATGCCAAGTAATAAGTCACCAGGACCAGATAAAATAGGCATGCGTGTCATCAAAGACTGTCTTCCAATCATACTGGGTCCTCTTACGCATCCCAACATCGAAAAAGTGAAAGCCACCATCGAAGGTGTCCCCAACGTCGTGTATTCCCAAGGCATGGGAAAAACACGCATGTACGAAGAAGCGAAACGACTTTTTGGTACCGATACCAACAGTCAACAATCGCTGGTGAAATTTTACAAAGATCATCAATTTGCACTCGTCGTCGATTTAAGATCCGTCGACGATCCCACCAAAATCGGAAACGGTGCCACGATCCAAAACACCCAATCCGGAGTTTTGATCGAAATCACCAAGAAAGCAACGACTGCCAATGTACTATGTTACATCTTCGTTCTTTCCGATGGCGTCGTGAAAATCGTCAACGGACAATTGGGTAGCGTGAATTATTAAAATTATCATAAAACATGATAAGGTTGTCGTGAATCTCGACAAGTTTCGTATTTTTCTGAAAATACGAAATTCTTATTTCTTTTCTCCTTCGGAATTACCTTCCGAATTATACACGTGTCTGATTGTCGTCGCACCGCCACTCACCAATCCCAAAAATGGAATGTACGGAGAAATTCTTTCCACTAAATTCTTCACGTCGTTTCTCAACAATCGATCTTCTCTCAATTCTTCTTTTAATTTTTCACTGCTATCGATCATACGAATGCCTTCCATCAAATCTGAAAATTGATCGATGAGTTTTTCCGTGAGTAATACATTCACCTTTTCGCGACAATCTCTCTCGTATTGAATTTTAATCGTACGCAATACTTTTAACGGTATAGGATAGGATAAGGATGGATAGGATAATTTTATTTCTTTATCTTATAACGATATGGATGAATTAATTCCACTTCCAAATACGCATATCTCGTCTCTTTTAAAATACGACTAATCTTTTTCATTTCTTCGTCGTCCATCTCACCCAAATATTCCTCCAAAATAATCTTCATGTCGCTACGTTTCGGATTGTAAAACGTCACCAATTCTTGAATGTTCTCGCGATACGGTTTTGCGATCGATGTCAATTGCTGCGTGATCACGATCGTCGAAATCAAACGGTGACGCGCTCCAAATCCCAAACGTACCAATTCACTCGAACGATTTTTTGTAAATTGCGTGCCCGCACAATCGTCCAGAATGATCAACGATTTGATTCCCGACGTGTACGAAACGATCAGGGACAACCAATCTTCCACCGCATCGTGATCGCAACCGATCACGTAAAAATTTGGATCCTCGGCGATAAATCTTCGATCGTACGTTTTATTCCAACAATACGTCGGACAAATTAAAAAGATCTTGTCGAATTTCTGATAATACGTCGTCTTTAATTCTTCGATCAGATAATGCGTTTTTCCACACGTCGTCATTCCCACGATGATCATGTTGAATGGAATCTGCAATTCGTCCATCTTTTATAAAATGGGATGTCTTTCCTCCAAAAATTCAGCTGCTGAAAAACGAAATAAAAATCACAAGAGACGCAAAATGTTTAATCTCGGATTCGGATTCGATCGCGGAGAATTTTCCGCAAGCGTTCACACGCAGATCGGATACGTCAGTACCACCGTCAAAAATTACGATTCAATAAAAAATGAAATTCAATCTGTGGAAAATCCTGATTCAAATCTCACTGATCCATTGTCTCCTGATTCCAATCGAAATCTCGTTGATCCTCCTGAATAATTTGGTTTCAAACGGATCCTTTCTCCTCGTCCTTCTTCTTTTCACGACACATCTTTATCATCTTCGTCCCAACAAAAATCAAAACGGATAACGCCGAAGACATACAGATCGCACACGTCGCGTACAATACATTTTCCTCGTTTTTTGTTAAAGTCACGTACGGAATTTCCGTCTCGTTATTCCCCACCAAACGCATCGCAGAATATAATATCATGGTCGTTGGATTCATTTTTATTTTCAAATGGAAAATAAAAATTTTTCTTAATAATCCTCATCGCTATCCTCTTCGTACACTTTGGGTTTCACGTGAACCTCGTGTAATTTCATTTGAATCGTTACCGTCTCCCCGCATGCGAAGACGCTTTCGATTCTTATCACGATTCGATTCGCCGCAAATGGACGGTCGCGAAATTCACGATCGCCCACACGTTCTCCCTTCTCGTTAAAAAATATCGTTTCGTCGTCCAATCTTGCGCACAACGTCGAGCCGCGTAAACACGTCATCGCGTTGCCTTCCGAACCCTTTAACTTTTTGTAACACTTGCGACCGATCATGTTCAAAACGTTGATCAAGTCGTCATCGCGGATTTCAAAAGGAGCGCTCACACGAACCTGACGAAAATCCGTGTTACGACGAACACCCGACGATTCACAGTCGGACACGCGGAAAAGTAACAACTTTCCCTCGCGAGTATCGATCGATGCCTTCGTCGATTCCTCGCCACCACCGCAATACATTCCCTTGGAAACGCGAAACGAACGGTGCGTAAAATTTTTATAATCCGAGACTGGGAGACCATCGAAACTTTCCATTCTTTTTAGGATATTTCACTCCCCTATAAATAGGTGTGAGACTCTTTCGACAAACTCTCGCGACAAGACTTCCACAAGACTTCCACAAATCTTCGAGAAGTCTCGCGAAAACTCTTCGCGACAAGACTTCCACAAGACTTCCACAAATCTTCGATAAGTCTTCCACAAGGCTTCAAAAAAAACTTTTTCGAAACTTCCACAAATCTTTTACGAAAAATTCCTCCGGAAATTTTTTCCATGAAAAAAATTTTTTCGACGAGTTCAAAAAAATGGAAAATTAGCTTTTTTGAAACTCGCATTTTTTCTATGAAAAAAGTTATTTTTTCGACGAGTTCAAAAAAATGGAAAATTAGCTTTTTTGAACTCGCATTTTTTTTATGAAAAAAGTTATTTTTTCGACGAGTTCAAAAAAATGGAAAATTAGCTTTTTTGAACTCGCATTTTTTCTATGAAAAAAGTTATTTTTTCGACGAGTTCAAAAAATGTAAAATTAGCTTTTTTGAACTCGTGGAAAATTAACTATAACGCGCGTGGAAACACGAATTATATATCACGCGTGATTTTTATCACGCGTGATGCAATTATCTATAAAGTGGAGACACTATATTTTGTCTTACATGAAGTATTGCGTTCTAACACAGGTTTCATACTACACGCGTAAAAATCATCATGTTGATGCAAGTTGTTAAAAACAGGAGCGAACAATGTTGTGCTGCACCCCGTGAACAATATTGTTAACAAGTTGTTGAACCATCAATATTGTTGCAACTTGTTGACAATCATGTT